CAACAAAAAAATACGTTTTGCACCAACCATTTCCAACAGTTTTACAAAACAAGTTGATGAAGTTCAGCTGCAACAGCCAACAGAAACTAAACCGGTTAGCTTGACGAACGATCAGCCAGCCAAGAAAAAAGGTAACGCTGTAAGTATATATATATTTTTTGAAATTTTCAGAACAGAATGTTTCAGATGAACAACCAGCATCCAGCTACCAGAAACTTCTTAGTATGATCAAGAATGAAAATGGTCCTGACTCATCAGATAATGACGATTTCGATCCATCTTTCGCACAATCGACGCCTATTCCCTCCAACCCTTCAAACAAACCGTATGCCTCAAAAATTTTCTGCTTACTTCGTAGTTTAGCTCAAAAAGCGACGCTTACCTATTATTTTTGCCGTGAAATCTGTCAGGTGATATGACAAAATTAAGAAGTGTAAATATAGACAGCAGTGTTGCAAGGAACATTTTTTCCTCATCAGTTCAAATAGTAAGCTTAATTAAGCATGAGTACGCTGAAGAAATGAAAAGTTACAATAGAAAAAAAAGTAAAATAAAATAAAAAAGAAACAATAAGAACTATAGATAAAAAACAGTAAAGTTTTATTTATCAGAAATTGTATAATTCAGTAAAAGAAAATGCATAATATTACATCCTTATTTCCAGAGCCCCACAAATCTAGAAGTTAAAAACTTTTCAACGCAGATTAGTTACAACTTCCACAATGAGTAACAGAATGATTTTTTGTCTCTACTCGCTTTTACAAAAAATTACTGTATCCATACAGAATTTTTGTAAACGAAGAACTCAGAATATTTGCTCAACAACCTTGTACAGTATGCCCGAAAGAAAAATCCCCGTTAAATTTTCACAGAAAACACAAATTAAGCCTCTTATCTTGATTTTCGATCCAGTATATTGGATAACTTCAGTTAAGCAGCTTTACATCAGCAAAATTTCTGATTCCTTAGAATACATTTCTGGGCATATTCAAAGCACGTTTTCAAGCCCCTGACTGCTAACGTGTAAGCTTGTAAGAGATTTGTAGATCAAATATCTGATTCATTCCTACCAAACTCAGTGACATTTATTTGGGCAAAAAAGCCAAAAAACAAAAATTGGTACTTTGCAGTAATATTAGACCTTCTGTTCGCGCTTCCTTAAACTATAATGCGACCTACCACTCAATAAATTCAGGCAGTATGAAAAAAAAAAAGTCCAGTTCTTTGCTACCTCTTCATATTCTCGTCAAAGATTTCAAAAATCCCAAGTTTTGACTGAAAAAAAAACTACACTGCTAAGGAAAGGAAGAACATCTCTGATTTTTCTGGGTTTATGAAGAGTGAAATCAAAAACAAATACTGAGCTGCACTTTTTAGTACAAACGGCTACTTTACGCGATTATTGCAGGAAAAACACCAACGAGAAACAGTCAAAAACCGCAACAGACGGTCAGCAAAGCGACTTTAGAATGAACTTTCTCGGTGCTGCACAACTGTCCGACTCAACCGACAGCGACTCAGATACACCAAAGGGGCTTGCGATGAACGTTACCTGCAACGACAACCTTGATTCCGACTCTGATTTCTTCGGCTAACCCTACATAAGTGTAACCACCAGGATCACTAAGACAGCGTCAAAAAAAGAGCCCAGTCTCCTGTTGCAACAAAACAGAATGAACAAATAAAACTTTACTTTAACAAACAACAACTGGTTCAACAAAAAAGTTCAATGTACAAAGTTTTCCCGTCATAGTTTTACAATACGCGTAACTGCATAAATTCATTACAGTCATCTGTAATAACTAGCAAATTTTACGAATTTCAAGTGAAGACACGACATACAGCATGAATCAAGAAGTTTTACAGCAAAATATATCGTAAAAGAAGTGGAATAGATAATATTATAACATCCTGTACAAAAGTATGATGAATAAGGAAGTGCAATTAGATTTAGGCATCACGGAATTTCGAAAACGGCGCTTGCTACCACTTCTAATTATGTTACAAAGAATTGCTCATTAACGATAAGAAAACAATGAATGGAGAAAGAACTACTATACATGCTATCATTTAGTAAAGAATGTTTATTGCAATACCTCATACGCATCCTGCGACTGTATCAGGCACTTTCCTGTAGTTAACAAAGATAAAAATTTTTTCATGTGCATTTGAGCTGTTATCAAAAACTGAAACCCTAGTCAACTTGCAAAATCAATTTCAAGGTCATTTAGCTTCCTTCTGGAAGAAAACGCAAATGATAACTAATACACAATAAGTGAAAATTAAAACTGAGTCATACACGTGGACAATACCACTGTTTTATATAACATCGCACATTTGACGCCTTTTCTCCCTCGGAATAAATGGAAGATTCGTCAGGATAGGAAACTTCTTAATGATTTTCATAAGAAGTGGGGGAAATGCGTAGATATCAACACCAGATTCACCGAAATCATAAACCAAACCACGACTACGAAGTCCCCTCTGTTCTCTTGTCGCCCCTGGAAAAGCGACAATCCTAAGCTAAAAAAAAAGAAAAGAAAACTGAAAAACTACAGCCTGAGAAGAAAAAATTGTGTACCCTGAACCGTATTATCAAGGATGCAAGCCGTTAGTGCACCAACAAACATAGGAAGGGTGAAAAGTACATGTAAAACTTGATCGAGTGTTTCTACACCTGTAACTCAATAAAACCGTTGAGTTAGGAAGCGTAAAACTTGAACTCTGCAAAGCTCAAACACTTTTAGGCTTTAGGGTTTCAACATCCGCGCTATTCTTTGAAAGAAATTCATTAGTAGACTTCTAAATTCCTTTACCTATCACTAGATGCCTTGAAAAATATCAAAGTAGACCAGGGCTAAAAAGGATCATAAAAAATCTTAATATTTCAATACACCGTACAAACGAAGACCTGTATGCACTGGATATTGAGCAAAATATCTTGGAACAATAAGCCCGACCATGATTGAAAATCCAATTATCGCTATATTTCTAGACAGTGTAAGGTCAACCTACAAATGTTTAAAAATTTGTGCGAAAGAAAAGAGAAAGTGGCCAGTCTTTAAAAACCCTAATTATCAACTTCAAAAAGAACAAGAAATTAAATTCACCTCAAAAGTGGCAGCAAAAAACTGTCATGCTAAGAAAAAAAATAGTTTTTCTAATCCAAGAAAATAAGACAATCTGCTAATATTAAAAAACCTGCTGCAAGTTGGCAATGGCAATCCCACAAACCATTGCCATACTACTTGCAAGAACACCGCCCACAAGGGGATCCGGAATTGTGGAAAGAACTGCACCAAGTTTAGTAAAACATCCTAAACAAATTAAAAGTACACCAGCTGTTACCATTGTAGCTCTGCTAGACACCTGAAATTTTTTAAAACTGTAATGAAATGCATGTTAAATACTCACACGTTATTAAAAAATTGAAAAGAAAAAGAAATTAAAGAAGCAACAATCCGAAAAAAATCTGAAAATTTGAAAGTTAAGATTCTGATTTTTGACCATTTCAAATAGCTGTAAAATCTGTACAGAATATACGAGCGAGAGAAGTGTGATAAAATAAAACGCCACCTTCGTTATGCCTATGACACCAATGTTTTCTGTATGTGTCGTGATCCCAACTCCTGGACCCAGAAGGCCACCAAACAAAGAACCAACGCCTAAAGAGAGAATTGATCCATAAAAGTTGCTTGAGCTTCCTAAATCGGGCAAGAAAAAAATTCTGGTCTTTCCAACCTTCGGCAATTATCCCACGATTTATTGCATGAGTGGCTGGAGCTCTTTCATCAGATACTCTAGCTGCTGCGTGATAGTCACCTACTGATTCGAAAACGGAAGTCATGGCTGACAGCACAAAGGCAAAGAATAGACCTGCATGAAACTTTGGCGTACCAAATTCACCTAAAGATAACTATTTAATCAAAGCTTACTCAAAAACTAAGTGTACAGTTGGTAACAAAATAAGCGACAAAAAGTCCAACCTGGATATGGCACTGTAAACCAATCAGCATGCTTAATAACTTCTAAAGTTCCATTTTTATCGAGACGAGCTGCACTATCTGGAGGCGTAAGATTTGCAAGGGTTAAAAAAAGACAAAAGCCCCAAGAAACCAATATAGCAATCAAGTACTGAAACGGCATTGTCAGCAAATGTATGCCAATTCACCAAGTAAAACCTATCAACTAGTCCAAAACGATAAAAAAAATTAGTTGGCTTTCTAAAAAGTACCGGATATTGTCCGAAAATATTGTGCCTCGTTATTGAAAACTTTCGTTTCCTAATGCTTGGAAGCGGGGTTTTCCAGTCAGCCAAATATAAAACAACAATAAATAAGGCAATTGCTTGTCTAAAAGCCAAAATTGTAGAAAAAAGTACTAAAATGGTAAGAGCTGTATAAACAAGAACCCACATTACGGATACCCAATGTTTTGAAATTCGTTCTACACACATATCAACTGAAGATGCTGCTAGTAATATAATAAGTGGAGAAACAGTAATGGGACCAATAAATTTCGTGAACATTCCGACTAGTCCAGTAGTACCGATGAAAATCGGTATTAGTGCAGACGACATCAGACATCCTTGAATCTTTAAAATATCAGATTTGGAAGAGATCATATCAAGTTGTAAAGAATGGTTCACATCATTCCAAGCAAAGACAGTACGAACTGATTGGTTAAATACATAAATAAATAAACAGCTATATATATATATATATA